GCGAAATACAAGCTAGTTTGTTTTCGGCCCTTAAAGCAAAAGTCCTTTGGGTGCAAAATTCCAAAGCATGTTGAAGAACAAAGATTCTCCGCTACACAATGGTGCCACGGGTAGTGTAACGCCTTCGCGTTTAGGCTCAAGAAGTACATTTTTCGTTTATGTATGAGACATTTTGCTAAAACTCCTCAAGCGAATAGCAAAGACCAGCAAAGAAGCAGGCGCATATCCTACAAAAATCGAAAGAAAAGCTTGATTTCGGCTTTCTTCCACTTTGTACAATTTTTTTTTGGAGTAACGGTCGTCTGAAACGACATTCTCAACACCCGAACACAAGTGTTGTTGTTTGCAAACTGGGCTTGTAATCAATTAAACTAACAATTAATTTACCGCGTCCGATTTATTTAATTAGTCAAGAGATGGAGCTGTTGGCAGCAAGGCGATAACAGGTGGAGGAACCTAATAAAACCACTTTTTTCCAGAGATGTCTACAGTCTCTCTATTCTTCGTTGGGCTCGCTTCGATTCGCTCGCCTCCCTGCGTGCTTCGCTCAATTTTTCGTGCGTTGAAACATAGAGGGGCTGTGAACAGTCTAGTTAAACTGTGGCGCGTACAATATTTATTGATCAGTTCACATCACAATGAATTTTGTAACTGCATTTGCAAATCGCCGTTCTAGGTGACGAAAGTCTTCGTGTAAGCTGGACCTGAAAAACATGATATGACCCGTATGGTCCCGCGGAATTCCGCGGTATCGTATAGTTCCAATCGTTTAAAAGACAGCGTACACCTTCCTTTTTGCTTGTCCTATAACCAGCCAATTGTAGTGTCAAAAAGCCAAAGTTATGTGTTGCTTTGAACACTTTCGCGATGTTTTCCTCGTTCACGATTTCCCCCCAAAAACAGATTTACAAAGCCAAAACGCGAATTAAACCTTACGCTTTTTCCTTCATATCTCCTTTTCTCTGTTATTTTTTTTTTCAACGAGACGATTCTTATGAATAAAAAAAGCGAACCAGACTAGGATGAGAAAAGCGATCGAAGTTTCCTGTTTTGTCTGTCAGAGAGTTTTTATATAGTGGAATCGAAAATAACCTGTTTTTTGCGTCTTTTTTGTTTTTTTTTTGTAGGGGTTTTACTCTGCCAACCTCGCTCTTGCCCCGTGGCTGGCCGAAAGCCAAAGGGGTGGTTCACCTCTCCAGATGAAAATCGAGTCATGGTTTTAGGTTTGTATCCTTTATCAAAATGGCAAGCATTGTTCTGTTAAGGTACAAAAAATTCGGATCTGAACATTGCGAAGAAATGGTTGTTAAGAAACAGTAACGATAGGGTGAAAAAACAGAGTTTTTTTAGCCAATCATGGTGAGGCGGCTTCTTTCATAGGCAATTAGTAGTTAACGCTTGGAGATTACAACAGTTGCCGACAAAAACAATCTTTAAGACGAGCACGTTCACAGGGCCGGAGCGAAGTAAACATTAGGAAATATGTTTCTTGTTTCAATTTTCAAACTTTTTTTTTCGCCTCGTCCTTTAGTCATTTTAAGTGAATACTGAGTTCCAACTTCAGATGATCACTGAAAGCGTTTTGTCGGAAATGATAGGAGAGATAATTTCATACTGAGTTTGACAAAATTGCCAAAAAAAAGCAGACCAACAACTTAAAGACGAGCATGTACATGGCACACAGTTAACGTGTAAAGATAAAAGTCTGTCCCATATCACTGGACCTTATCTCGGTTTCTGTAGCATTAGTCTACTCTCCCCCTCCTTCGTGGTTGGGATGCTAGCCCATGGCAGGATCACCCTGCCGATTATTTCTCTGATGGAACTTAAGTTTGCTTTTACTTGAACGCTAGAGTTTCCCAGGGGAAACATATCCAATTGCTAGCAGAGAATGGAGAAAATATCTATGAAAAACCTACTAGGGAAAGTATCTTTATAGTAATTTAGTTATCATAGTAATCCACGGACTAATATTTTGGGTAGCAAGGGTTGAACATCACCATTCACCTGAAAAATTTGCCCAAAAATTCAGCTTAATTTCTAGAAATATAATTCTCTCTTTGGTAAAGGATTTGGACGCTGACTGACTTTTTCACGTAGTTTTAAATATCTAAAAATAATTGGATAACAGAGCTACGAATAAATTAAACAAAAAATCGGCGAAGGAGAAACGAGTCTCGAAAAATATCTGTTAAATATATAGTACAAAAATTTTGGTCCAAAACCTTCCTAATACACTATCCTAAATCCCCAACGCCTCGAAGGAGCCTCGACGTCTCCAGAATGAACATAAATTTCACTCAAAATCAGCCTGTCACAGTTGCCAGTATGAAAAATGTAGCTTAGCTCAGCAACAAATATACAGCCATCTACAAGGTAAGTTACCTTGATATGGATCCATGCTCTCTGATACTCGAGCCTTGATTTGTGGACGATACTGAAATGAGCAATAACAAGACAGAGTCAGTATATATACAAGGTGCATTCCGTGGGATAACGTGTGAAAAATCGGTTGACGCCTACTACCTTTAATCGTGTTTAATTATGTTAATGACGCGGTATGAAAAGCATCTTGTACATTCCGTGCAACGAGGTGATGAAATTTGGTCAACTCGAGAATTCTGCGCAAACAGGTGTCAAGAATTGCCCATCGCTTGATAAGGATTTCTGTAAAAAATTGGACAAACAAACAAGCAATACGTCACAACTTGCAGGGTTATATTGTAAATTGACAACATGGCATTTTTAAGGTAATTGTTAGTTTGTGTTGTCAGTACTAGTAGCCTTGTTTCAAAAGCTGTAGGTATGCAATGTAGTATTTAAGTTAAAGGGTAATAATTAGGATGTCTCTTTACTACCAATGTCAACCGGGGCGTCAGCCAATAACATTCTGACAGAACTACTTAATTACCGCGAGGAATGCACTTGACGTTCATTGGTTTTTCTGTCAAAAACATTAACATTTTATCGACCAATCACAGTAGTGCTTGTTGTCAAGGTACAGGAGTTTTCCGACGGACTTTTCACACTTAGATGCACGGAATCCATTGGATGTTCATGAGTTTTCACACCTTGTTTCACGGAATGTACCTCATTTGTATATATACTGCTGGTTTAAGTTGTTATTGCTCATTTTCCACGGATCGGAGCTCAAGCGCCAGAAGGACATGGATCGATGCCAAGGTAAAGATTTTCTTCCTTTGCAATTTTTGGCCGTGCATAAACCTCAGTGGAAGTATAAAGCACAGGACTAGGCATCTTTAGCTGTAAATTATAACAACAAGGATTACATTTAAGCTAGTTTCGTTTACAGTACGTCTGTCTAAACGCATGCATGAAAAGTAGTCAAGTCTTTTTCGGTTATCAAACTGTGATGTAAATTGCTAAATAAGCTTTGTTTTTATATGCTGTTAAATCTGAGTACATAGGAATCTCGTGTCAATATGAAAACGGCGTTTCTCCCCCCCAAAAAATGTTACGCAACATTTCGCTACTGAAAAATTTTCCTTTTCCTAAACTTAAGGTCCCGAGAATTACTTCACATCTTCATCACATCACCCTCTCTACTATCATCCCAAATGCAATTATCACCATCATCGACACCATTAACATCACCACCGCCAACTCTATCATCACCATCACAGTCATCACTAACAACACCATCCCAATCGTAACCAAGTTACCTCTGCCGACACCATTAACATCACCACAACCAACACCATCATCGACATCACAGTCATCACCAACAACACCATCCCAATCGTAACCAAGTTACCTCTACCCACACCATTAACATCACAAACACCAGCAACACTATCATCGATATCACAGTCATCACCGACAACACCATCCCAATCATAACCAAGTTACCTCTGCCGACACCATTAACATCACAAACACCAGCAACACTATCATCGATATCACAGTCATCACCGACAACACCATCCCAATCATAACCAAGTTACCCCTGCCGACACCATTAACATCACAAACACCAGCAACACTATCATCGATATCACAGTCATCACCAACAACACCATCCCAATCATAACCAAGTTACCTCTACCGACACCATTAACATCACAAACACCAGCAACACTATCATCGATATCACAGTCATCACCAACAACACCATCCCAATCATAACCAAGTTACCTCTACCGACACCATTAGCATCACCACGACCAACACTATCATCACCACTAGCACCATCACCACTAGCACCATCACCACTAGCACAACCACCATCCCAATCACCACTACCGGCACCATTATCATCAATATCACAACCAACATTATCATCACCATCACGGTCACCTACACCAACACCACTACCAAGATACCAATCACTGTCATCACCATCACCGACACGATAAACATCACCATCGCCACTAACGCTATCATCACCATCACCACTACTAACAGCAACACAATCACTATCATCATCATCATCACCGACATCGTTAACATCACCATCGCTACTAACACTGTCATCAGCATCACAATCATATTACTATAGTTAGGAATTGTTAGGAATTTTTACATCATTGTAATTATGTATGTACATATATATATTTTTTGTAACTTTTTACATATTGCAACTTTTTATTGTTCATACTTTGTTCTATACTTAGTTATTTTATAATTACTCGTAGATTTTCAGCATAGAGGGCCACTAGTTTATCTGTTTATACTGTCATGTGTCACCCTGTCTAAATAAAGTTGATTGATTGATTGAATACCACCATCCTTTTCACAACCGGAATGACCACGGCCATCATTGTCAGCACCACCAACACCATCAACACAATAACCCCACCAACATTATAGCTACTCCCACTCCTAGCACCGCCACTACTATTACCAAGATCAGCCACACCATCACTATCACTACCCCCGCCGCCGCCACCCTGATACCATGACAATTCTACAGGTTACTAGGATCATTATTGCAACTTACATTTTTCTTGATGGCAGAAAATAATTTGCACTTTGTACCCATGCCATGGCATTGGATGACTTATTACCAGTCTGGTTATTGCATGCCTCAAGATGAATGCAGGTGAGAGTAAGTTTGATCTTGAGAAGCTTTGACAGTGAAGTTTAAATTTGACATTTGTTTTATTAACTTCTGTCCCATTGTCATCTCCATGTTGTGAGGATCAGTTTTCCGTTTTTCACTTATCATATAGCGTTTGTTCTTCCGCATAATATATGTAGGTGAAATAACTAGGATAACTGTTGAGGTAGAACTGACGGAGAAAAAGAGCTAACATACATGATTAATCGCCTAAACAAGTACAAATTGGGTGGAAATAGAATTCCTAGTTTAGAGTCCAAATAGCCGAACCAAAAAGCACCTTGATAATTAGGAAAACACACGAGCCTTGTATAACACGAGAAAGTGCATGGCATGTTATAAAAAAGTTATGCAACACTTTCTCGTGGCATAGTATGGAATATTTCGCTTGTCTTTTGTATTTCCTGGGTTGCACACTCGCCTTTAGATGTTCCAAGGTATACCACTCGAAAGCGTTTCATGACTAGTTTATTAGCATTAAACTGGTCTATGTTTTTCAGTTCTCCAGCGCTACTTGCATCAACAGGCAACACCACTGTGAATGGTACAAACAGTCCTCCTCCGGCCACGAATCTCGCTCCCAGGCCCTCGGTTATTCGTTATGTTCATCGTAAGCAGCGGCCTGTGCAAAAACGCAATAATCAAGTTAAACCCCAGTGCCCTATATGTAATAGCACGTTCTCCAAGCCAGGATCATTGAAGGTAAGTCCACTCACTGGTGAACAAATTGATGACTTTGAAGCAATATTACTGATGCTATTTTCTTGATATCGAAAACAAACGCAAAACCTCACCGCAAAGTTACAAAACTTAAATGAAAATTCTCGCTTACCTTGGGTTAGCTTAATCGGGCTTTGAACAACCCGGCCCAGGAGCTCCGCTTTTAAGCTTGGCTAAATCTATATATTAGCATCGAACATACGGCAAGTGCTGTTTTTGTTGTTTTTGGCTAGTTTTGCCGTTTAGAGAAAGGAAGAATTCTATGCGGTTTAGCTAAAACATATAATTGTATTGTATTTACAAATGTTCAACACAAAAATTATATTCTTTTCAAAATCTCAGCCTCGGGTTTATTCTTTACGTATTCTTAAAAATTCACAAATTTCAGCCTCAATATTCTTATATAATGACTATAGAATGTTTAAGCAAGCAACTGGAACGATGATCCTGCTGTTATACGCTGGATCAATAGTGATCTAATCTGCTTCGCATATAAAATGAAGAGTACAAAAGCAGAAACCGACACAACGTAAAATGATTTTTTGAAGGTGTACTATATTTCGGCTGGCCAAACCAGCCCTCTTCAGGTACAATGAGAATTTTACATTGGGACGTGTTTTATGTAGCATGTTTTTGTAATACCGGAAATACGTAAACTAATTGACAGTGTAAATTAAAGATAAGCATACGGTAAAATAAAATGACATAATAAAAGAACATAATAAACGGAAACAATTAATATGTTTCTTCACGGATGTTCAGACCATCACGATCAATTGGTCTGCCTTTTTGAATTAAAAAAGCTTCCCTGGCCTTACTAAAAACAAAAAGAAAAAAAGAGTGTATTACCGATTTCACTTTTTTCAACGTTTATATAAGCAACACTTGTTTGAAACGTTATAGAAGTCGCGTTTCGTCAACCAAACTAAACCAAACCAAACCTTTCCGCCAATCCTCAAGAACTCGTTGAATTAACCAGTAAATGTATTTATTTTCAGGTTCATATGCGAACTCACACTGGCGAGAAGCCATTCCAGTGCTTGTACTGCTCCAAGGCCTTCAATCAATCCGGGAGCCTTATCAGTCACGTGCGCATTCACACGGGTGAAAGGCCATATAAATGCCCTTTCTGCGAGAAACGGTTTACCCAGTCTTCCTCCCAGAAGAATCACCTCAAGACACATTTAAGAAAAACTTTGAACATGGCTGAAGCCCTCGGGGAAGCAAGATTTCGCTATGTCACGGGATAAATGGTAGACACCTAAAACTCGAGAAGTAACAGCAAAGCTGGTTTCTTGCTGCATTCAGGCTATGAAGTTGTGTATTTGTTGAACATTCAAAATCGCCTCTGCTAATTGTATTATTATTTATCCTTATCACCATGGCAACACAAGGCTTTTTCAGTGATTATTTTTATGAGGAGAAAACAAAGTCTTTTTACAACGAAAACTTAAGTATCGCAAGTCAACGCCATGATATTTTAGCGCGCTCCGGATCGAGCGGTCCGAGTTCGAGTTCTGACCGGGGACATTGTGTTGTGTTCTTGGGCAAGACACTTTACTCTCACTGTGCCTCTCTCCACGCAAGTGTATAAATGGGTACCGGCAAATTTAATGCTGGGGGTAACCCTGCGATGGACTAGCATCCCATCCAGATGGGAATAGAAATACTCCTAGTCGCTTCATGCTACAGAAACCAGGATAAGCTCCGGCCTGATGGGCCGCTTGGCTACTATGCAGACTTGACTAATTTATCTGCGGGTGTGTTGTTTTAAGCATTGCAGATCCGACTCCCTTTGATATGTGTAAAGTAATGCGTTTTCAGTAATGTAGTTTCAGCAATGTATTTTTATTTAATGCAATACTTTTGTTCTACCGAATTTAGGTTAACATGGTGAACAGATCGAAAGCCAAAGACTATTCTGATTACCACGCACATATCTTTTCATTCTTTTCCTTTACCATATGTATATATGTATATATATTATAATTCTAATGTGAACGTTTTAAATAGTGTAAATTAATGGTAAAGAAGAATTTCAGAAATAGAACACATGTACCGTGTTTCTATCGAGTTTTTAAAACCCTAGTGGAAGTTTGGGAGAACGAGAAATGCTGTGGGAACACGAACCGACAGACGAGTGTTTCCACAGCTTTTTTGAGTTCTCCCAAACTTCCACGAAACCACATATCTTTTTACTCTTTTCCATGACCCCATGTGACAAATATTTCTCTTTAATTTTATATTTATAGTACTAAAGTAAACTTTGTAAATAGTGCAAAAAAATAAAGAAGAAAAAGTTGAAGTTGAAGTTGTCCCTCTGCGCGTTCTGGCATTTTGCATTTGGATCCACGCGCGCTGAGCCGGTTGTCACACGCTCCTTGAAACGTTTCAAGTATGTGCAACGTTTTTAATAAGAGTTAGCGTTTCCACGCGTGTTTAACGATGTTTTGAGTAGCGTCCTGTTCAGTTTCAAACCTTGTATATTACCTCTGGGCTTTTCCACTTGGATTTATGGACGTTAACTCGCTTGTCACAACGATTTGTTCTCCCGAAGCTCTAACAGAAGTTTGAAAGTCTTTGCACAATTTTCGATAGTTTTGGGAGTTCCCACGCGTGTTATACGCATGTTGCACCTTAATAGTTTGAGTGCTATCTTGTTTTCATACTGTCTGGATTACCTCTGCTTTTTCCAGTTGGATTCACGCGTGTTAACCCGTGTGTCGCATGCGTTTTCTTCCTAAAGCTCTTTGAGATTTTTTCAAGCTTTTTGTATCAGTAAGTTATCGCGTTCCCCCGTGTGTTTTACGCGTTAGACCTATATTTTGAGAAAGAACTTGGATTCCCTGTTTTTCGTTCAACGCAGATACACACACATTAACCCGTGTGTTACGAGCTTTTTTCTGGAAGCTTTTCAAGCGTGGTTCTCACTCGTTGATCCGTGTGATATTTTCACGCAGATCCACGCGAGTTAACCCGTGTGTCACAAGCGTGATTTTCGGGAAGCTCTTCAAGACGTGTGCAAACTGTTTTGTCCCATTTCTGCCCCGTGAAAGCGTGACCAAAGTCACGTGGACTCGAGGACACGGACGGACTTTGCTGCGTTCCTGTGCAAGGATTCTTCGCCGGCATTCCTAATGTAAGATTCCTGTGAGAGATGGTTTTGGCAACTCGAGGGTTAATTGTATTACTTTTGGCCACGGCTACGAAAAAAAGCCATAAAACGTTGAATTGACGGCGTTTTGGGATGTACAGATAAGACACTTTATTTAGTCTTCTTCCTTCCTTTTTCTTGTCTTTTTTTTTGTGGGGGGACTGGCTTGTAGACCCTGAAGACTCAAGCATTTGTGACAGGCTATTTTTAGCGTTTTATTCAGCGTTTTATGTTTGTTTGGCAGCGGATTTGTTCGCAGTCTAAACAAGTGACACGTACGGGGCAGCCCAAGGCAATGGTAACCAATATGCGAAGACTTTAAAGGGTGGATCGCCTTGTGCAAAGGAGAGCAAAATAAACACGAATACTACGAATCTTTGTAAAGTTAAGCAAGAAGCAACAATGGACTTAAATAAACACATCTTATAAATATGTAAGGCACAGAAGTGTTTTTTTTTCATTCTGGCTCAGAACAAACCAACACCAGCTGTGAAAGCATTTATCGCACATTCTCCATGCGTTCCGCTATTCGCAACCGAGTTCCTGGTCCAATAGACCAATTTCGATGTATTAAAATTCAGCCCAACACAATAGATCTCAGTACGAGGCTCTGGCGAATAACTACAGAGTTTGTGGGGTTTATTTCCCAGAGCCTCGTGCTGAGGTCTATTGTGTTAGGCTGAATTTAAATATATCGAAATTGGTCAATTTTACCGCAAGCCTACGACTCTCTTCGCCCGGGACTGGTACTAGTTACCCAAGGACTGACAATATCACGTGGACAAATCTTGCATTTCCCGCCGAATGCGAAACACAACTAGTTATAAGGTTGTCTCGTCGAGACATTAGGGACCTTACGCAAAACACGACGGCGACGGCAACGAGAACGTCACTAAACAAAAGGGGTTAATGAGCAAAACAATGGCTGTGCACGTGCGTTATAATTCTTGGTACATTTCTTTGCCGTCCTCTGCAAAACAACAACGTGAAATGACCCAATTCTGCGTTTGGAGAACGTGACCACAACGGCTAATTTTTCATATTTCTATTTGGAATTGAACGCATTCGTAGCATATTCAGCAGGGGCAAGTTTTAATACCGACAGACACACTGGACAGTTCCAAATAAATGCGAAATTCCAAAGTAAAATAGAAACACATTTTTTACTAGGCGTCGTCCTCGCCGTCGCCGTCGTATATGCGTAAGGTCCCTTATGACTTGACAAGGACTGAAACAACTACTTTTTGGCCACTTTTCCTGAACTTAAGTTGCCATCCGAGAGCTGTAAAAAAAAGCTTTATAAAATTTTGTAAAAATGCTAATTTGTGTTTATTCAGTCCATACGGGTTCACGTGAGTCCACGTAAACAGAACAAATGCAAATTTGTACATAAGAAAGTGTGCAAAGGATGTTGTTTGCGAAAAATTCGTGATGTATCTGTTAGCTGATTGGTCTAATCTTATTTTGCATATTCATGATGACTATTGCTGTTCTGAGGTGCTTATTTGTCATTTTAAGATGTTTGCCGTCGGAGTAAGATGTGTACTTTCAAGTTCCTTCTACACGAGAAGCAAATTCTTCCTTTGAAGAAGAAATGGCGTCGACGTTTGGGGAAGAAAAGTCGGTTGACACCCATTTCTGCCAATGGTTAGTATCAATTTCTTTGAATTCTACCTTCGCAAGTAATATTTCAACCATGTGCGCTCGCCGAACTTGGTTTGCATTTCGTGTTGAACTTCAGAACAACCGTATGGCTTTAAAACATGAAAAGCTAGTTCACGAACCATCCGAAACGCTTAAGTTCTTAGCGGTTTTTTTTTTTTACGAGACTTTGGCTTTCGTCGTGAAAGTAGCGTTTCTTTGTCAAACTTTGTCTTGTACTTGTCAACGCCCAGTTGTGTTTAACAATTGAACACTTCGGCCTCGTTTACTCGTTTGTTTCCACACTTTGGTTACTTACGCAATTTTTACTATTCTATTTTCAGGGAGTAAACTACTGAAGACGGGAAAATCAGGAAAACACAAGGAGATCAAAAGGATGGAGGATGAAGACAAAGTTAAGGGAATTTGGTTAAATTGAAATCTCTCTAGTAAAAAATGACAGTCTTGAAACTGGAGATTCAATCGAGTTCAAATTCGTTATGTGTTCTCAGCTGAAATATTTTCATTGGAGAGAGATTCAGGCGCGAAAAAATTAAATTTGGTAGTAATTGCGAATCAACCCTGCCATTTTTAACGGAAAGGTTTCAACCGCTTTCGAACCATCATGTAGTACACGTTTTCAAACTATGGGGAGTTTTATTTCTTTACTCAGGCGATCATAAAAGTGATTACATTATATATATATATTATCGGTTCGGCATTTGCATGCTTTACTAAGTATAATTTGTCAAAGTCGAGCATTTTTTGCTTTATTTTTGAAAATTCTAAATTCTTGTACAATCGCGCAACTCTCCTAAGTTCGAAAACGTGTTACTAGGCGATAACCGTTGTAGAGTATTAATTAAAGTGGCGCTGCATGTTTAAATTGAAAAACCGTCATAGTAACTATTGGTTACGTGATCATGTCAGTCATAAAAAATTCTGTTTAGATATAAATTGGACAAACAATTCAACGTTGAAAATTTTGAAGTCTTTTTCTCCAAAAACGCATCTAACATTAAGTTTTACAAAAGCTTTGTTTCGATTTATGATGTGAATTGTCTGTTGGAGGGCCATGCCCTTGCTCAAAACAACATAAAAATAACTGGTGGTGGAAAATTGTGTTAGCTGAGCTATCAAACTTGACGATGTCGAAGAATTATTTCTATTTTTCAAACCTTAGCATTTTCAGATACGAAATTAAAGAAGTGTCTTGATCGATCCTTCGACTCGTTTATACTTTATTTCCTTTAAATTTTCCCAGAAAGGTGACGGTAATTAATTCATCTGAAAGAGCAATTTCCTTGCTCAAAATTATTTATTGACCCAAATGATCTGAAAATGCTGCAGCTTGCATTTAAGTTAATTGCAAGTATTCAGTAGAACTATCAAACAATTTCTATCGTTTCTTTCTTCGTCATTTGAAGTTACGAGACATTTCAAATTATTCCAGGA